TACCTACCCTCCTATACTTCTCTCTACCTACCCTCCTATACTTCTCTCTACCTACCCTCCTATACTTCTCTCTACCTACCCTGCTATTCTTCTCTCTACCTACCCTCCCATACTTCTCTCTACCTACCCTGCTATACTTCTCTCTACCTACTCTCCTATACTTCTCTCCACCTACCCTCCTATGCTTATCTCTATCTATCCTCCTATACTTCTCTCCACCTACCCTCCTATACTTCTCTCTATCTATCCCTCCTATACTTCTCTCTATCTATCCCTGGTGTCGGAGTTAATTAGATTTAGTTCCAACCTGACACAACACAATCTAGATTACAAAACAATATTATCAGAACACAAGGTTCTGTGTTGGAACTCTCAAGTGGATTTTTCAAAGTTTAAAGGGACTGTAAATATCCGATTCACATCGGACCCCTGTATGCCGAGTCCATTAGCGCCTGATCCAATCAGGGTTCAGTCATGTGTTTGTTGTCTATTCTAAACCAATAGAAATTGTATGAAGGTATCATTTAGCTTTCTATCTAGCTCATTATCCAATCAGAGTTATGAATCCTTATATCGGCGCTATCAGTAAATGGAAATATTTACTTCTACCGAAACTATAGTGATCGGCATCTTTAAAAGTTATACCAAGTATGAATTAGATATCAATGTTATTTCCATTCGTAGCTTCTATACAAACGTTGCATGCGCATTTTTTGCTGAAAAATAATGGTGAAAATATTATAATTAAACACTTGTGAAGTTAAAAAAAAAACGTTATCTTCAACACTTGAAAATGGAGGATCACTTGAAATTACGACTACAGTAAGTTCAATAAAAAATAAGAATTTTAGCGAATATTAGAATCAGGGGAGTTTTTTAGGTATTTTGGAGATTTTAGGTATTTTAAGGGAAACTAGGGATTTAACAAGGGGGGGGGGGATCCTAGGGTTCATTTTAGACTTCTGGAAAAGGTATAGGATAGGTAAACTGAACAGTGCTTTCATAGTCCAGGTGTTTAAAACCGTTTTCATAGGGAAGCTTTAAAAAATGAACTTGAACTTCAGAATTTGCTTTCTCATCTCGTGTTTCTAAATTTATAAATGTGTAAAAATTAGCGAGCATTAAAATCGTGTTTTTTTCTATCTTCCTAAAGTATCTAGGTGACAATACTTGAATCAATACACTACACTGAATAGAGAGCAGTTTCAAGCATTGTTACTTTTCACGCTTTTGTTGCATTTTAGTGGACAAGGTATTGTCTAAACCTGCGTGTAAACATTTCTCAAATAAAATACAAACTGTAGAAAATAGTGAGAACAGATACTTAAATACTTGTTTTAACTAGCTCTGCATATACGGCGCGTACTAAAGAAACCAAAAAACAATACTTGAACCAAATATAAGTTTTACTTTGTGATACTGTTTTCTGGAATGCTCTTAATTAAATGATATTATACTTAATAATTTTACTTAGAAAGAAACATGTAAGAAAAAAAGACTGAATAACTTTCGTACAGTCCTCTCTGAAGTCTCACCCTGTAGAACAATTACAGCTCATTAACGATATAAGTAGAAACACAAAGAAAGGTTACGCAATAATTGTAGGATTTGATTTCACTTTAATCAACACTTATTTCTGCTTACTCTGTAATATCTATCTGAAATTAATTAAATCCATATTACAGGTCTTTTTTCAGAGAATAATTAGAAAATGTCATGTTAACAAAAAACAATAACAATATGAAAACGTATGTTTTATTTTGAATGTATATGGATAAGGATTTGTTAAAGTTTTTTCATCTGAATTCCGCAACACTGTTTAACAATATTTATACGATAAGTTTCATATTTTGAAATAAAGGTTAAAAACCGAAACTTAATAGATATCAATAAACTTGACTTCATCGCCAGAACTTGCAGGTTTGATTTCAGTTTTGATCTTCGGAGCAACATCTCCGCTCTTAGTTTGAGAGACAGCTCTGAACCTTGAAGGCTTCTCAACCTCATGCGTATTTGGAGTAGAGTCTGGCTTCGAGTTCTCAGGATTGTTTTTCAAAACCTCTTCTTCTTGACCTTGCTTAAAGAAGGATTGAACCATTCTGACTATTTTGGAGAATACATTGGATTTAAGTCCTGCTCTTGCAGCGTAGAACGTATCTACTCCAGGTCTTGTATTCCAAATGTACGGTTCTCCGACCCTCCAGTCTCCAGGAGCTAAAGCTGAACCTCCATATTCATCCACTAGCTTTAAAGCCTGGACAATACGGAGTGTTTCATCCACACTTCGTCCTAATTATTCATTTATTTTAAAATTTATTAAAAAGATAAATTTTTTAAAATAAACAGGTATTACCTATGATTGATGAAACCTCGGTCACATGTCGAACAGATCCTGTCTTATCCAAGATACAAGTCATAGGTCCTGGATATCCGATCTCTGCTGTTCCTTCCAGCTTAAAGATTAATCCTTGTGCGGCTAAATCAGAAACAATACTGAATCTGAAGAAATGGTATTTTTTAAAAATAATGCATTCTAAGATTTAATGGCGCGGAGTAATTAAATCTTGATATATTAATTTAAAAACTTACTCTGCTGCGATTCCAGGAAACTCGACAGGAATACTGGCCATCCAGTCTTGAATAGCATTGGTGGTTTCTCTGCATATGCCCAGAAGAACTGCATTCTCGTTCTTAAATGATTCGGCAGCTTTGGAGAACTCGATCAATTCAAACGTGGAGATATCGTGGAAGGCTGCAGTAAATGTTAGAAAGACAACATATTTATTGCGATAGTCTTTTATATCAATGCTTCTGACATTTCCTGATGTATCTACAACTTTAGGTATGCTAAAAGATTCTATCTTAGCTTGAATCATCTTTCAAGAAATAATCAAACTAGAAATTGCGGAATTTGAAAAAACAATTGGCGCATTTCAATTCTTTTCAACGCTGAAATATTTATTTTCCTTTCACTGATTTCATATAAATAATTCATTTTTTCAGCAGTATAAGTTTAATCTTTATTAAAATTTGTTTTTTACCTTCTAAAACGGAATCCTTATAATTTTTGAATAATAATTATTCTTTTGAACACTTTTTTTCATAGAGGATTAAATTAAATATTCTTTTCAGAAAAGTAATGATATAAAATGTAATGGATATGATTAAACATCCGTATCTTTACTTATCATTTTTTTAATATATTTTAATCCTATGGTACGCGTGGGTTATAAAACATAAAATCACAGAATAAGCTTTTTAACGTCGGCTTATACTTGTAAACCAGTCACAATTCTGTTTCTCCATGTGTCAAACTTGATGAAGAACGGATAAATCGTGTGAGAACCCAGATTACTCTCCGGTTCGGATTGAAACCAGATGGTTTTAGACAATAGATCCCAGCTTTCTTTTCCTCTTTCTCATCCTTGTTTATCATCCTCGTCAAAAACGGTTTCAAAGGGGTTCAGTTTTACAGTTATTCCGAACCGCTGTTTCAGACAATAGAGACCCAATTAAAAATGTTTTTAACAATAAGATGTTAAGTTACAAACATTTCAAAAGATCTCTCTTTTTGATTTTAGAAGTTAGTTTTAAGAAAGCATAAAAGGTTAACATGTTTCATATTTGCAAAACAAAAAGTTTTTAATCTATAAAGGTGCAAAGCTCCCCGAGTTATATATGTTGAATATATTATACATCAGAACATATGAATGTTTGTAAGTAAATGAACGTAAACACATTAAAGTAAAACAAACAAATTAATTGGTGAAGATTTAATGTTTTCCAGCGTCCTTATCTTGTTATTTAGCCTGCGTAGGAAAGGTATGGAGCGAAGGGGGTCAGATCATTATGGCCATCGAAAGGAGGAGGAGGTGGGGGGAGGGGGGATAATTGCTATGAAAGGGAGGAAAGAAGGAAAGATGGAGGGGGAGGGGGAGCTAGGTGATGGTAAGATTCTCATTTTAATATGTTTAATATGTAATTATAACATGTAAATTTTGTAAAATTCAATAACCTTACGAAAATAAAAATATTTCATTTTTTTATATGTTTTTTGCCTATGGAAAGTATGACTTGGATAGTTTAAAAAATATTTTAGTATATTAAAATAAATCTGAAAAATAAATTTGTTTTTCGAATTAATGTAAATCCTGTGTTTTATAAGTTGAAGGTTGTAATTCAACCCGACAAGTGCAATCTTATTTATCTTCGATAAATTTCTGGGAATCCTGATTTTTTTGCATAAAATTCAATCTTATGAAATCATGTATATCTATATATAAATTTGGCTTGTCTGTCTGTTTGTTTGTCTGTCTGTTTGTTTGTATCCAATAAACGTCAAAACGGCTGAACCAATCGGGCCCAAATTTTTTGTGGGACATCTAGGACCCCAGGAAAGGTTTATGAACGATTAAAATTTCAAATATTTGTCTCCATCAAAATTCGATCTTCATTAAATTTTTGAAAATTTTAAAAATCCACGAAATTTTTTGTGAAAATCCGCGAATTATTTTTGTTTTGTTTTACGATGTACAGAAAGAGAACATGTTCACAATTAATTTAGAAGATGGGCGCGAAGCGCCCTCTAAGGCTAGTATTATACATAGGAATAGGAGGGTAGCGGTAGGATGTGGGGTGGGGGAGTGAGGGCGATAAAAAATTGAAAGAAGATGAGATTAAAAATTAATATTAAAGTTTGTTTAAGAAAAACTAAACGAAATATTATTAATTCAGGGGAAAAAAAGAATAAAGATTTCGCAAGATTCTGGAAATTATTTGTTAATTGGACTTTTTATCTTTTTCTAAAAACTAATCAGTTTATGACGATTACTTAATATTAATACTAATATTATTATTAAATCTTTTAATCTGCTATTGACAATATTTTGTATATGTTAAGAGAAGAGCTATGGTTTTCCTTCTTATTTTTTTCAGGAGTCTGTATTTTTCAACCTAATGTCTTTGAATTAACTTTCAGCAGGCGATGCAAGTTAGGAACTATGTATACTCTGAGCCTCTGTATAAGAATATTTAGGAACCAATTGGATAAATTAGGAACTATATTTTGTATAAGAATATTTAGGGACAATCAAATAGAAACTATAATCTGTTTATGAATATTTAGGAACAAAGGAATTGACTCTTTGCCACAAATCCCAATTTTCTAATACCTATATCTCTAAAACCAGATAGCGTAAACCAGTAATATTTCAAACTTTGATTATTTGATCCATCAGAATTCATAGTTTGAAATATCTAAGGTCTACAACGTTGATTTGTAGAGCTAAAGGGATTAAGAAATCAGAGTATGTGACAATGACTCAATTCCTTTGATAAATAGATAGATAAAGTTTATTGCTAAAATACATGTATCTGTGTACAGAACGAGTTTACAATTACAAATTGATGATTATTTTAACAGTACAAGTATAAAGCAATTAGATGGAAAAGAGCTCTTGACTGTTTTGATTATTTTTTCCATCTAATTTCAATATTGATAACAAAATATTTCAATTAAATAGATTTATGTAAATTGTCCAAACTGGCAAAAAAAAGGTTTCACTCTCACAGGTAGAAAAACTCGGGTTTGGAAATTAATTCCTATATATTTCATATCCTCATCAGTCCTACAGAAAATGACCAAAATTATTACAAATTAAAAATAAAGATAATGTAACAAATACTATCTAGAAATTTATAAAAAAGTAAGCAAATTAGGGGAGGAGGATTTTTTAAAAGTGGAATGAAAATTTTTTTTTGAAAAGTGTAAAAATTATGGTCAACCTTAAAGAATGGTGGTATTGTCAAAACTGAAAGAAATGTTCATTGAATTAAGGGTTGGGGGATGGGTGGTCTAAACCTATCAGCTAATCTCCTTCCTGTTTCTCCAATATATTGTATATTGTGGCAACTAGGTTTGTTGCAAGATATACAGTAAACCACATTGTAACTTTCACAAGACTCAAGAGTTTTTATTTTTACAGCAAAGTTTGATCTTGAACTTTTTACCTTCTCTGTGGTGTGTAGGAAAGGGCAAGTGTTACACCCATATCTGTTACATTTTTTCATTCCTACTAGGGTTCTCCTGGACCTTGTTTCCTTTGGGAGTTTTGTTTTTACAAGGAGGCTCTGCAATGATGAGTTTCTGGGTTGCCTGTAGGCAACCATAGGAGGGTTTTTGAATACATCCTTTAGATGTGGATCTTTAACCATTACTTTCCAAATAGATTTAAGGAGAACTATTAGAGATCAGGGTGCGATTTTATCTCATCCCAAATAGTTCATACATTTGTTAGAATAACTAGAGTTTAAAGTAATTTTCTGACATGTACACAACAAATATCAAAGCATATTAAAACATATCTAATTAGTTTTACATGAATAGCCATTCGGTTTATAACACATTGTAATGTAATTTTCAAAAAGAGAATTTAGTAGTCTATTTTTGAATGTACTTTTTAAGTCAAGAGGCAGGTTATTCCAAATCCTAAGAAGAGAGCTTGATGGTAAATACTGTAATGAGCTCATATTGAGAATGTCAAGTTGATAGTTAAGAGATTTTTCAAAGTTTCAAAAGATGCAGGAAGAAGTTTATTTGCACATTTATATTGCTTGGTTAAAGTCTACCAGATCATTAATCTTTAGAATCTTATACTTAAGGAAAAGAGGATCACTATGAGACTTGGATTTTGAGTTATCAATCAAACTTATTGCTCGTTTCTGTAAAATGTGAATTTGTTTCCATAGAAACTATTAGAAACTATTATTTGTTTATAAATGTTTAGAAACAATTTAGATAAATTAGGAACTATATTTGTTTTTAAAAAAATTTTGGAACACATTATAATAAATTAGGAACTATAATCTGTTTCAGGAATACATATTTAGGAACACATTAGATAAATTAGGAACTATAATCTGTTTATGAATGTTAAGGAACAAGTGAGATAAAATAGGAACTATAATCTGTTTATGAATGTTAAGGAACAAATTAAATAAATTAGGAAATATAATCTGTTAAGGAATTTTTAGGAACAAATTATATAAGTTAGGAACTATAATCTGTTCAGGAATATTTAGGAACACATTAGATAAATTAGAGCTATGTATTATCTGTTTATGAATGTTTAGTTACGAATTACTTAAATTAGGATAAACAATCTGTTTATGAATGTTTAGGAACGAATTAGTTAAATCTGGAACTATAATATGTTTAGGAACGAATTAGTTAAATCAGGAACTATAATATGTTTAGGAACGAATTAGTTAAATCAGGAACTATAATATGTTTAGGAACGAATTAGTTAAATCAGGAACTAAAATCTGTTTAGGAACGAATTAGTTAAATCAGGAACTATAATATGTTTAGGAACGAATTTGTTAAATCAGAAACTATAATATGTTTAGGAACGAATTAGTTAAATCAGGAACTATAATATGTTCAGAAACGAATTAGTTAAATCAGGAACTATAATATGTTTAGGAACGAATTAGTTAAATTAGGAACTATAATATGTTTAGGAATGAATTAGTTAAATCAGGAACTATAATATGTTTAGGAACGAATTATATAAATGGCTGAATCTTGGATTAACTGTTTCCAAAGAACAAGGAAGAGAGCGGAATATATGCAAACAATTTGAATATGGAAAAAATTGTAAAACAATATTTATTTCTATTTTTGGAAAGAATCTCCATGTTATATGATTTCTAAATCAATGAAGGGGATGGGAGATTTATTTTGAAAGCTTCTTGAGTTTTGAGTTCTGAAACTGACAAGCGAGGATAATATGGAATTTAGCAGAACTGCATAAGGTCCAGTTTTAATGAAGTTAACAAGCATAAATAATCCGCTAATTCATTCATTAATTAATTCTTCAATCCGTTAATTATTTTATTTTTTATTTTTTTTTATTTAATCATATCAAAATAATGCTATTATATTTTTGGCTTTATAAAATATAGATAATTGGAAATTAATCCGTTGATTAAATGATTAAACTGATAGATTCATAAAGAAAATATTTCGTTTGTAATCTTAGAGTTTTTTTGGTACGTTAATAAAATAAAAGGGATTTCCATAATACGATGTTTAAACGTTTTCTAAAATCAAAATTGAAAAAGAAAGTGTTGATGATTTTTACTCTGCAATGTCTGAGATATAGATAAATGATAGAATGGAATTTTAATAAGATAAAATGTTGAAGTGTCAACTTAAAGTAATTAAAGGAAATGAGTTTTTGCTACAAACTCTGATTTTCTAATTCCAATATCTCTGCAACCCATTGTCGTAGACCTTAGATATTTCAAACTATTAATTGGTTTAGATTAAATAATCTAAGTTTGAAGTATTAAAGTTTTACACCATCAAAATGCAAAGATATAGGGATTAGAAAATTTGAGTTTGCAATAAAATAAATTTATTTTTCATATATACATTTGTCGGTAAAATATAAACTAGGGGGAGCTACGAGGTCACAAAATCGAACCAATAAACTCGCATACATTGTACATTCTCCTTATGTCAGTAAAGGAGGATAGGAACCAAATGGGAATGGGAAGATCAAATAGGAGTAGGGGAGGGGAGAGGTTATGACGGTTAATATTTATTTAATGGCGTAGGAAATTGGCGAGATTTTGCAACATTTAATAATCAGTCATGGGCTTCTTTTCGTGCAAAATTTCATATTTGTGTCGCATCATATTTTTAAGATGTCTTATATTAAAGATTTTTTTATTCTCAAGCTTTTTGATTTTAAAAGTAATTTTTATCAAAAATATTCGTCACTTACGATCAGAAGTTATTTAAAAGAAAACTTGTTTAACGTTTAACAGGTTCATAATTGACATGAGGGGTTAAAGGTTCACAATAATGAGGAGCAGAATAGGGGGGGGGGGGTACAATTTAATATCCAGCAACGGAAACTATATACAAAAAGTCATTTTCAGTTAGATGGTTCGTCTGAGATTGAGTGGAAGGAAGGTTTTGATAGATCGCATGCAGGTTTCAGCTCCAACCAGACTCAGTCCTGCATTCCTTAGGATTCGTTGAAATCCTAGCGGAAGCTATTAATCCTGCACAATTAAACCATCTCATCCAACCTTACTCAATACTCATCCAACCTTACTTAATACTCATCCAACCTTATACTCAATACTCATCCAACCTTACTCAATACTCATCCAACCTTACTCAATACTCATCCAACCTTACTCATTACTCATCCAACCTTACTCAATACTCATCCAACCTTACTCAATACTCATCCAACCTTACTCATTACTCATCCAACCTTACTCAATACTCATTCACCTTTATTCAATACTCATCCAACCTTACTCAATACTCCTCCAACCTAACTCAATACTCATCAAACCTTACTCACATTCATCCAACCTTACTCAATACTTATCTAACCTTACTCAATACTCATCCGACCTTACTCAATACTCATCCAACCTTATACTCAATACTCATCCAACCTTCGTCGTTTTCAGATTAGTTGTGTATTTGCTGAATATGATTTGTTTGAAACTTAGAATCCTATACCAAATCTCACATGTATATGTTTTGGTATAATTTTGACACAGTTTTATATCATTACAGGAACATCAGTTGGAACTCTTATATGTCTCGATCAAATCCTAAAATGCTCAAATACCCCTTTATATAATGATATAAGGAGTTATCTCTTATTGGATAATGAGATAGATAGAAAGATAGATGTTACCGCCATACTATTTCTATTGGTTCAGAATAGACACCAAACACATGGCTGAACCCTGATTGGATCAGGCGCTAATGGACTCGGCATACTAGAAATGGGCCCATTTCATCCAACCTTACTGAATACTCATCCAACCCGAGAGCTTTTATCCTAACCATCAAACCCTACTCCTTCTGTCCTATTCATATCATTCAACCTTACTAAATTCTCATCCTAACTATACTGTATACTTCTATACTACTCTTCTTATCCAACCTTACTCAATCTAAATATAATATAATCCTATTCTACCAATAATTCCCTATTTCTATTCTACCTATGATATCCCAATCCTATCTTACCTATGCTATCCTACTCCTATCCTACCAATGATATCCTATTCCTATCCTACCTATGATATCCTTCTCCTATCCTACCAATGATATGCTATTCCTATCCTACCTATGATATCCTACTCCAATCCTACCAATGATATCCTATTCCTATCCTACCTATGATATTCTACTCCTATCGTACCAATTATATCCTACTCCTATGCTACCTTTGATATCCCATTCCTATCCTACCAATAATATCCTACTCCTATCCTACCTTTAGATATCCTATTTCTATTATATGCTTAATATCCTACTCATATCCTACCTATAGATATCCTACTCCTATCCTACCTGTAGATATCCTACTCCTATTCTATCTATTGATATCCTACTCCTATCCTACCCATGATATCCTACTCCTTTCCTACCTATAGATATCCTTCGCCTATCCTACCTATGATGTCCTTCTCCTATCCTACCTATGATGTCCTTCTCTTATCCTACGTATGATATCCTACTCCTATCTTATCTATGATATCCTACTCCTATCCTACCTATGATATCCTTCTCCTATCCTACCTATGATATTTATCTCCTATCCTACCTATTATATCCTTCTCCTATCCTACCTATTCTCTCTATCCTGTTCTATCCCCTACTAAGATTTCTGCAGCCGGCACAATTTAATAATCTATATTATGAGAAGAGAAGGAGATGGATAAAGTGTGTCCAGGATCTAATCATCAATTATCAAGAATATTATTAGCCAGGAGCAAGATCAATTATCACCCTGTATCACCTGAGGATAAGCTCTACCCTCTACACAACATAAACACCCTGTATCTCCCCCCTCTCCCCCTACACCCTGTATACATAGATTATCCGAAGTAGCAGATAATTTGCATGGAACATGTATTATTCATAGTTTAGGGTCTTCTAATCATTATGTTCAACCACTACTCTTACCCTTCTGCCCAGTTCTAACAGCTAAGGGGTAATGTTGGAAAGTTTAGCAAGGGTTTAAGATTTCAGTTAGAATATGATTAGAGCATAGGTTTATAGATATAGATATATATCGGGTCATAGATAGATAGATAGATAGATAGATAGATAGATAGATAGATAGATAGATAGATAGATAGATAGATAGATCGATAGATAGATAGATAGATAGATAGATATATAGATAGATAGATAGATAGATAGATAGATAGATAGATAGATATATAGATAGATAGATAGATAGATAGATAGATAGATAGATAGATAGATAGATAGATAGATAGATAGATAGATAGAGTTAGGTTAGGACTTGGGAGAACTGAAAAGATTTGTACTTGGGAGGAGAGCAGGGAGAACAGAGTAGGGTTGGGAGAATAGAGTAGGGTTTGAAGAACAGAGTAGGGTTGGGAGAACAGAGTAGGGTTGGGAGAACAGTTAGGGTTGGGAGAACAGAGTAGGGTTGAGAGAACAGTGAGGGTTGGGAGAACATAATAGGGTAGGAAAAACAGAGAAGGGTTAGGAGAACAGAGTAGGGTTGAGAGAACAGAGTAGGGTTGAGAGAACAGAGTATGGTTGAGAGAACAGAGTAGGGTTGAGAAAACAGAGTAGGGTTGAGATAACAGAGTAGGGTTGAGAGAACAGAGTAGGGTTGAGAGAACAGAGTAGGGTTGGGAGGAAAGAGAATGGTTTGGATAACAGTTAGGGTTGAGAGAATAGAGTAGGGTTAGGAGAACAGAGTATGGTTGAGCGAACAGAGTAGGGTTGGGAGGAAAGAGAAGGGTTTGGATAACAGTAAGGGTTAGGAGAACAGAGTAGGGTTGAGAGAACAGAGTAGGGTTGTGAGAACAGAATAGGGTTGAGAGAACAGAGTAGGATTGAGAGAACAGAGTAGGGTTGAGAAAACAGAGTAGGGTTGAGAGAACAGAGAAGGGTTGGGAGAACAGAGTATGGTAGAGAGAACAGAATAGGGTTGATAGAACAGAGTAGGGTTCAGAGAACAGAATAGGGAGAACAGGGTTTAAGAAAGCTAGAAACTCTCTGTTCGTATTGCGGTTTATCCTTTCTTGTTTAGGAACAATAAATAGGAGAAAATGTCTGGTACAAGGGATGCATATATTAAAAACAAACATTTTAAATACAAATCTTGCTCTTTTTCAAATTGAAACAAGATTAAAATCTTATTGCCAAATTTTGTCTTTAAAGCGAAATATTTTAGCCCTGTAGATTTGATCCGACGCTACCGCTATTTGATCTGCAATTTAGGTTAATATATAACCAAATATATTATATTTTTCTAAACAATATAGTTCAAACACAAACACACACTCCAGACGGACATTCAAACAACGCATAAAATATACAGTTTTGAAATTAACCAAACAATTGATGTGTGTAGAATTTTCTAAAGAAAGAAATTGAGTCTTTGTCCCAAACTCTGATTTTGTAATTTCTATTTATTTGCAACCCAATGTTGTAAACCATAATTATTTCAATCTATGAATTCTCTGAGATCAAATAATCTAGTAATATATCAACGTTAAAAAAAAACTACAATACCCTTGGTCTGCATTTTGAAAATGATTATTTAAGAACATTTCAAGTTTGCTGGGTCACTGTAAACTCCAGTTCATTTGAAGTACCAGACCGACCTCATAGGCAGCTAGCGGGAAGTACTGACCAACCTCTAGGCAGCTAGCGAGGAGTACTGGACCGACCTCTAGGCAGCTAGCGGGGAGTAATGAACCAACCTCTAGGCAGCTAGCGGGGAGTACTGAACCAACCTCTAAGCAGCTAGCGGGGAGCACTGGACCGACCTCTTGGCAGCTAGCGGGGAGTTCTGGACCAACCTCTAGGCAGCTAGCGGGGAGTACTGGACCAACCTCTAGGCAGCTAGCGGGGAGTACTGGACCGACCTCTAGGCAGCTAGCGGGGAGTACTGGACCGACCTCTAGGCAGCTAGCGGGGAGTACTGGACCGAACTCTAGGCAGCTAGCAGGGAGTACAGGACCGACCTCTAGGCAGCTAGCGCAAAAAATACAGACTGTACAAGGCAAAACGGGACAGTAAAGCAAATGAGCTACTATACTTGTGAGATAAATGTGAAGTATATCTCAACCTATCTTAATTTGATTAAAATAGTTTTAGAGGGACTGTATGCGTAATTTCATGTGACCCTTCATGCAAAGATGGCAATACCCGATTAACAATGGTACCCTTTAAACCTTTATCTGATCAATGATGAAGAATATATTGTCGTTTTCCAGGTTTCAAAGCATTGCAAACATTGATATCTAATTCATATTTAATCAGACAAAGCTTTTCAGGGTACTGTTGTTAATCGGGCATTGCGATCTTTGCATGGCGGGTCACTTGAAATTACGCTTTCAGTCCCTTTAAAGTCTCTGAAAAAATAGGTATTTGCAAGGAAATTTAAGTGCATGCGAGGCTAGAGTTAAGTTATTTTAAGACATCAAAATCCTAGGTAACCAGAGATATATCAACAAATATTAAATAAAATCCCTGCAATTACAATTACAGATATTTATAAAAGCATATTTATAAATATAAAGTTGTAATCTTTGTTTTTCTGTATGTTTGTTTGATTGTTTGTCCTATCATAACTCAGGAACACAGTGACCAATTTGCCTCAAATTTTGATTGGGAAACTCGGGAGACCCACGGAAATGTTCTTAGCTTGGTTTGAGATTATAAGTTGAGGGAATCGAATTTTATCGGGAAAAAGAGCTAATCGTAAAGGTCTTTCTTTCTGGGTTCCCACCCTAGTATTTTATATTTTATTAGTTTATATTAAAAATATTGATAGATATAGATACGAAAGATATACAGATAGAAAGATAGATAGATAGATAAACAGATAGATGGATAGAAAGATATGGAGGATGGATGGAAGGATAGATAGATAAACAGATAGATGGATAGAAAGATATGAAGGATGGATGGAAGGAAGCTACCAATGGATAATTATACTTCCTAGATATTGTTTTAACTCTTAGATTAATTACACAAGGTTCAAATCCAGCTAAGGTCACGCTTTTTAGAGATTTGGGGGGTATAAGGTGCAAGGGTTCCAGGGGGTTCCAGAGGGTATAAGGTGCGAGGGTTCCAGGGGGTAAAAAGAGTTCTAGTGGGTGAAGGAGGATTCCAGGGGCAAAGACGGTTCCGGTACCTCCCTAAACTAGGCTTTCAGTGCGAACTGCAGTGATCTGCAGTACATTGACCGATAGAAAGTAAGGTTTAGAGGAGATTGCGGAGTGTTTATCAGGGTTCCGGAGGGTTTCAGGGGGTTCGGGGTGGATTTAGAGTATTCCTGGGGGTTGCAAGGTTTTCATGGGCGTTCAGGGGTTTCAGATGGTTCCAGGAGTTTCAGAGGCTTTCTTGGGTTTCAGGTGGTTCAAGGGGTGTAGCAGGATTCCAAGCCTTTAGAGGGGTTTTACAGGGGGTATAAAGGGTTGCAATGAGTTTACAGGGGGTCTAAACGGGGTTCAGAGGCCTTCAGGGGGTTTTTAAATGTTTCCGGGGGGTTCTGAGGCTTTCAGAATGTCCTGGAGGTATTGGAGTAAGAAAGAACTTCACTGGATTTCAAAATGTTCCATAGGCTTTCAGGGTTTACTTTCATGTTAAATTTTTGTCACATTTTTGTCGTCGTTATTTAATAATTTTTAAAAAATCGATTCTCAAAACGTAATTACCCAAATGGAAGATTTTGTAAGTCGACTTTGCGCTCAAGCTCAGTATTTATACATCATTAAAAGGTTTTATATGTCTCAAATGAATCCTAAAAAATTTCTCCACAATACTACATTCTCAGTTCAATTAACATACATTGCCGGTCACTCCCTTTAAGTTTTTGTTTTATTTCTTCTTTATCTCGTGCAAGTTCAAGGTATTCTTAGTAGTGTAAACACTCGTTGAGTTAATAACAGTGATTTTAGGAGGTTTTATCATTTCTATCTTTTTATCTGTCTGGTTAACAGATCGTATCCTTTTAGAATCCTCAAACATATAATTAGTATTCATTCTTTTAGGGGCCCAGGGGTTGGAGGAGGGGGGGAGGGGGTAAAAATATGATGAAGGGCCGAGGGGGAGGGGGTTGTAAGAAATGAACAATTAGTTTAAACTTGGAAAGAATATATATATATATTTATATCCACCAACGTTTAAAATGAAAAAATGTGGATTAAGGTGTATAGCGAAGTTCAACCCCCTGCTTTACATTTTTACATTAAAATTCCTATTCAGGGTATTTTCATCACCTCAATAGGAATATTTTATTCTTTTCCTCAATATTTTTTAGTTTTGAAAAATGATGAAGATTGAGCGGGAGAGAAAAAGAATTCAAGTGAAAAATATCTAGATTTATCAAATCTTTAGAAAACTGGGTGTTTAATGGATTCATTAACCGTATTTTATCAAAGTAAAATAATTTAGAAAAATAAATTTTAGAATGTTAAATCAAAAAGTTACTTTTTGGCACAAAACATCCGTTCTGTAAAATATTTTTTTTTTGATATAATTAATTTATGCATAAACATTTGTTGCGCTCTGTTTCCTAAATTTCCTATCATATTCATATTAAAGAAAAAAAGCTATTTTAGGAGGCGGCGGAGTCATAGGGGGGGGGGGGGGTAATTTTTCAAGAACAAAAATACACATCTTGATGATAAATTCAAGAATGCTTAAAAAAGGTTTTATCCGTCAAAGAAAGGAAAAATTCATTAAAAAATAATTTGATAATTCATCTCAGCGTTCTTTTGAATGATAGAATCTAAAAACAAAGCTTTAGAGGAAGTTATTTTTGCAATCTTTGTCTTGACAAATACTAACAGTTCAGTTTCATGCCTTTTGTTGCAAAAACAGATTTGCAACTAATTACAACAATCATGAAGATTACATTTAAGTTTGAGAATATTGAAACAGTTAATCTCAGGGAGTAGCGGGCGGGTTACAACCCTGCTCCAAACTAAGGGACTGTCTCTAATTTTTTGCATCACCCTCAAAACCATTTACAGGTTTTGATGGGAAGAAATGAAAGAGATGGAAAAGGGGAAGAAATGAAAAAGGGGAGAATGGGAAGAAATAAAAAAGGGGAACAAGGGGAAGAAATGAAAGTGGAGGGAAAGGACAGGGGGGAAAGAATGGGAGAAGAGGAAAATGTAAAAGATGGAGGGGAAAGAAAAAGGGGGGAAAAGGGAAAAATTGATTTAAAGAATAAAAGATTAATATCCTTGATATTTACTTAATAGGTGTGAAATATTGGAATTCCTAATCCATGCCTGGAGGAGAGTAACATCGCGGGGTTTTTAAATACAAAATACAAAATATTGCATATTGGTTAAATATAGGAGGAGGAAAAAAAATGATGGGGGGGGGTAAATGGGTGCACGCCGCACGGGGAGGAAAAGGTCAGTGTCCGATGCACTAAATATATAATTTTTAATATATCTAGAAATGTTTTGGTTTGGGTCTTATGAGTTTATTTGTATGTTTGCAGTTACAGTGCTGAAGGCTGAACCAAGAGGCAACCCGTCCTATCACACAACCTACTTGGAGAAGGACTTTAGAGTTGTGTTACGTAATCTACCTGGAAAAGGATGAAATCGTCCTGCTTATGACACAACAGACCCGGAGAACCATGAAACGTCCTATCATATTTTGAGAATAATCAAACCATCTTATCACACAAACTAACATGAGAAGGGTTAGCCGTCCTCTGACACAGCCTAACAGGAGAAGGTTCAAACCTTTCTATTGCACAATCTACCCGGAGAAAGATCAAACCGTCCTACGAGAATATCTTCCCTGAGGAGGATTAGACTTGACACCGAACCTGAAGTTTATATTTACAGATTATGTCAGGCTAGGACGGGTTGAGGCTATTTAACTCCCCCGGCGTTTTACAATAGAACATTTTCCTAACAAAAAGATGAAGAAGCCCTTATACTGTCTTGTCCACGTAGACACTGCAGGGTTTAAAGGGTCTCTTGGACAATTCAGTATTTTATAGTTTTTTTCAACAAATTTCTAGTTTTCTAGTTTTCTAGTTTCTAATTGGGTTCTAAAATTGAAAGGAAAAGTTTGAAAATTAGAAACCAAGTACAATACTTCATACTGCCTGGTATGCAAGGAGTGGGCAAAAAACGTACTAAAACAAAATACATGCCTGTATTCTTTAGTTCAAATTCAATGTTGTGGCTTTCTTGACTTGCTCCTATAAATGTGCACACATCTCAAGTAAAACCTTTGATAATCCCAAAGGAATTAAGATTTTGTCAGAAAATCTGATTTTACAACCCAATGTCGTACACAATTGTTATTTTAAATTATTAATTCCGTTAAATAAAATAATTTTAGCATGAATTATGAAATGTTTACGCCATCAGGTTACAAAGATATAGGGATTAGAAAATCAAGGAAGGGAAGGAGGAGGGGAAGGGAAGGAAGAGGTGGTAAAAGGGAAGTAGGAGAGGGGGGAGAGGATGGGAGGAGTGAAGGCTATCAGTTTGTAATTAAAGTGAATGAGCAGTTAATATACTAAGGAGTCTATACATCCTAAAGTTAGTTAGGTTTGGTAATAGAGGGAAGTTGCTTCACACTTAGCTCCTGTCTTGGGAAACATAGGTGGAGATATATAGATAGATAGATAGATAGATAGATAGATAGATAGATAGATAGATAGATAGATATATAAAGTTATAAATAAATATATATATATAAATAGATAAATAAAGTTAAGGTTCCATTGATATAGCATCAACTGTGTCGGAATAAATAAGGTTAAGGTTCCGATGATATAGTATCAACCATGTCGGAATAAATGAATTTAAGATTACAATGATATATCAACTATGTCGGAATATATAAAGTTAAGGTTTCTATGATGAATTTAAGATTACAATGATATACCATCAACTATGTCGGAATATATAAAGTTAAGGTTTCTATGATGTAGCATCAACTATGTCGGAATATATAAAGTTAAGGTTTATATGATGTTGCATCAACTAAGTAGGAATCGATGAATTTAAGCATCAACTGTGTCGGAATAG